CCTTGGCAAAAGTTAGAGCGTAAAAGGAGAGTGAAAATACTCGAGTGAACCTAAGCCGGAACTACGTAAGGCTTGATTCCCATCTTTGGGATACGTAGGCAACTTCATCCTGAAGTTCAGCCATAAACTTTTTCCCGATCAACTTTGTCCATTTGATCATCTCGACCATCTTTATCTATTCAGCATTCAAGAGTTCGGTTATGATCTCCGGTGCAGTGCTCTTCAGACTAGGGGCAACTTTCCGTTGCTGCGCAGTGCTGCGGTACTATTTAGACTAGGGGCAATTTTCCAGTTGCTGGGATCTGGGGTTGTGCATCTCAGTGACAGATTTCAAGCATGTCCAGTTCTGATCCATATCGAAAATGGTTTTGAAAAGTTTTAATAAAAGTTGACTTTGTTCAAAATTAATCTTTTTACAACTTAGACCATTTTTGGACCAAAGCGGAAAATTTTCAGTACCCATAACCTTCAATTTCATTGATTTCAATACAGAGTTCTCTTGCTCTTGCATACAAATTGAAGTTGCTTTTTTATTACAATTATAAAGAAAACTTGAAAGTACGAGTAAAGCAATAAATCCGGGGCATAGCTAAGTCAGGTGTTCTTGCGCCCCCTCCCAGAGCTGGTCGAAGCCTCTGATGCCAAAGTAGGCCCTTCCTGTGCCTCTTCATTGAGCCAATCCAAGCACTCATCAGACATAGTACAATTGAAAGTGGGGGCAGGGGCCAAGAGCTCTCTAGTCCTCCATGCTATGGCATACCGGGCACGCTGTGCACCTCGAATTGGGAATACAGCAGGATACTGTATCCCCTCTGGCGGGCAAGTCTGATCATGTCTGAATTGGCGCTGGAACTGGAACGGAAAATAGAAGACATAGTGTGTCATGCCAATCAATTGAATCCCAGGTTGACGGGTCATGTTGTAACTCATTGCCGGCAGATTGAGCCAAGGGCAGCGCCAAGCGATGCGGTTCGCAGACAAATTGCACATCCAGCTATACCACCACCCTTCGTCAAGGGCATCGACCAGGCGTTGCCAGAAAAAGTAGCCGTGAGCTGAGTATGCGGGGCAAGACTCCACAATCTGTAATTTGTCCATCAACCACACCTGGGGAGGGATTGAAAAATGAGAGAATAAAGAATAGAGAGATGTACGATGAGAGAAAAGAAAGAAAAGGGTTTTGCGAGAAAAACCGAGCCTGAGAGCCGAGTGATGTGAGCAATACATGTGTGAGATTAGGTGGGAAACATTACCTGCAATAGTAGTGGGCTCCCCGCAAGCCTAGCCGTCTCCCGGCGGTGAAAAGCATCTAAGCCCATCAATGTCTCAACCAATGTCATAGCGATGCAGCTCTTGCCCTCTTTCAAACCTTGGGCAACCTCGATCAACTGGACACCAGATCCTCCGGAACCTGAGGCAAGTAAGAAATGAGATAGCAAGCATAGGCAAAGCGCATGTTGCCGATAGCCCTGCCAATGATGGTCGCCGCGGTCACCAGTATCAGAAAACCGGCAAACCAAGCTCGGGATGTCCAACTCCCCGTCATGAATCAATGATCGAGCATCATGCAAAGTGAGGCCGCATATTTGTCCAAAGGCTTGGACGTAGCCGAGTCGGATTTGAGGCAAGATTTCCTCGTTGCGCTCGGACTCCATCAAAACTTGGAAATCCTCGAAAGTAGGACATATCTCTTGCCTGCTAAAGCTAAAGATGTGTGTTATCAGATTCCAAAACCTTTCCGCGGCATAGAGGAAAGAAAGATGCAGCGGAGTATGGCCCAGCGTGAATAGTGCGTTCAAGCCGAAGCCTCGAAAGTTCAACTTTTTCAAGCCGTCTAGAGAAGCAATCCAAATTGTGAGATTTTGGGTGAAGAACGCCTCCATTTTGATGCAAAACTAAGATGAAATGAGAGAGCCACGAGGCTGGAGCTTTTAAAGAGGATAAGGCACTGTTCGGGGGACACGTGTCGAAAAATTGGTGGCTGCCAAGCTAGGTGGTCGGCCGGCCACCTTTTCTGGTAGGCCGACCACCCCTCTCCCCTCCAATGCAAAAAGCTGGTCGGCCAGCTCCCCTAGGTGGTCGGCCATAGAGAGGAAGGTGGCTTTGGTCTTATTCTAGCTTCTAGAAGAAAGTTCCTAGCATTTTCATGCATTGGGAGTGACGAAGGTGCGAGTTTTCCTCTGTTTCGGATGCATTCCGTCATCCAAATCGTCTGAAATGCATTTGTTTATCGAGTTGTTGTTAAATCCTGCTTATCGAGTTGTTATTTTTCTTATTGATTTGTTGTTTTGTTTATCGAGTTGTTTAGCTTATCAAGTTATTAAGTTTTGTCAAGCCGTTGAGTCTTGTATACTGAGTTGTTACTCTTTGTTTAATCAACATTGTTGTGTTTCTCTTATCGAGTTGTAAACTTGCTAAGGTTCTATTCTTTCTTAGTAAGTTTAAGTTGCTTTGTTTGATGAGTCGGTTCACTACCTGACTTGGCAATTTTCAAGTGCACAATTCCATTCAATCTCATTTTGTGCAAAATGATGCGATGCAATGAAAGAACATAAAATGTAACACTTTTTGAACAAAAGGTGTTTCATTCCATCATGCTTCCTTTGTTACAACATTTTACAACAAGGGTACAAGTTTTATAGAAAATAAAACTACCTAATAAATGTACAATGTGCTACAACTACTAGTAAAAAAGGCAAATAAAGCAGGGAACAGCTGCATCAATGCTATCAAGCATAGGAGTAAGAGGCTCTCTTTGTCCTCTTCTGAGGAACAGCCTTAGCACCATCATCTTCGTCTGAGTCAGAGATGTTATCCTTGGGATCCTCCTCAGCCTCATCTCCACTGCCGGAACCGGAACCGGAACCGGAACCGGAACCACCCTCTGTCAGCAGATGTCTCTGACTGGGGATGCGTAGGCTCCTCCTCCTCGTTGGACCCCTCCTCTATGACATGCGCTCTCTATCCGGCTCGTCTGCGAGACGACTCCCCTCTCCCAGCTCCTTGGGAAGGCCCAGATGGCCCGGCCTGTGGTCCGGTATGTAACGGAGGCATCTGAAAAGAAAGAATGCAATACATCAGCCAAAGTATGTATATCAGATACAGATGCAAGAAAACCACATGAAGTGGGTGCAGGCAGATATAGTGCATGAATGTGGTGAGTGTTAGATGTGCTCTACACATACAATTAATCAATGCAGTAAGATGTACAAGTTCAACATGTCATCAGAAGTATGATAAATGCAAGAAAATTAAAGAGTACCTGAAAACCAAGGATGGACAGCTGCGTCTCTCTCCGCAAGTCCATGCCCTCGAGCGAGGCCACCAATCCGAGCATCCCGTCCATGTACTCTCTAGGTGGCTGCAAATACAAGCTCAGATCATCAGTGACTGAATGAATGCCTAAGTATCTGGGTGATAAATGAAAAGCAGTGGAGCATACCGGTGGTGAGTCCGGGTCACTGACGTATCGGTGATCAGGCATAGGAGGCTCTATCGGAATCGGGTAGGAAGTCCCGTATCGCCATCTCGTCAACTCAGTAGGGATATCTGGCCATCCAGCGTGATGATAAGTCAGAGGAATCGGGGGGACCAGCCCAACCCCACCTCTCGACGTACCGGCTCTGCAAGTGGGAGGAGCACCTGCAGCCCGAGCTCGACTCGAAGATGGTATGTTAGCGGACCTCCTCATAGGGGTACGAATGCCTGTCAACGGGGGCATCAAGTATGTGTGATGGTATGTCGCGTACTCCCCCTTCTCCAAATGTAGCAATACATCAGTACCCAGCATGGCACTAGTAACCTCTTGGGGAGTGAACCTCCCGGTAGTCCGCATGTCGACCGGAGGTACTGAGGGGACGTCCTGATGAGGGTAGCCCATCGTCTGGCACATGAAGCATTCCCCCAGGAACCAGGCCCTACCAACCCGCCCCTCAAACAGGATCCTATACCGAGAGGCGGCCCATCCTCTAGCAAGCTGAAATCAGAGGTCCCCGCCTAAAGGCACCCAAGGCTGCCAGGTGATCTGCAAATAACCAATACATAAGCCGATCAGAAATCGTAGATGTGCAAAATAAATCAAAGATGAAAGCATGGAGGACGGAGAGTTCTGAATTACCTCTGTCGGTCGTACTGTGTCGAAAAACTGCCGTAGGTAGGGGAAAGTCTCTCGGGCCCGCGGCCGGTACTGGCCCTCGAAAACGAGCGAGTAGGGGGTCATGAGGGGCGCCTCCACCTCGAGCTCTGGGGCTAGCATCGGGAAGTATGCAAAAACCCATAACTGTGGAAAACAGGGTAAAAGCCATCAGAATACAGAATGCTGAGTGCAGAATCCGAATACAGAATGCTGAATACAGAATGTGAGTACAGAATGTAAAGTGTGCCGTGCGTGCAATGTACAGATAATGAAAAGCAGAAATGTAAGTCAAGAGAGCAGAAGGTACCTTTCAGGCTCTTTAGTAGCCACCAACTATGTTCCCCTGTCCGCGGGAGGTCGCGATCATGTAGCAATAGAGGGTAGCCAAGTCAGCGCCACCCCAGTCATACTGACTGACCTGCGAGAGGTCTACCAGGGCACTCAGTAAATATAGCCCAACGGTGTTCCCCCTATCGGTGAACAGAGTGGTCCCAAAGAGGAACATCAAAAACCCTCGGGTGTGCTGTGTTATCTCCTCGGGGGTCTCGGGCTCCCTCTGTCTGAAATATGAAGAAAACCAGGTGTACCGGACTCGGCCTGAGGATCGGTCGACTGGTGGGCGAGCTCCCAATAGATAAATCCAAGCGGCCTCCCACTCGCCCATGTCCTCATCATAAGGGATCGCCCAGCCTTCCACGTCGAGGCCTGTCAATACAGCAAAGTCGAATGGGGTCATAGTCATGTCCCTGACAGCTGAGAAATGAAACGAATTGGTGGTGTCCCACCACCTCTTCACAAGGGCGCCCATTAACGTCCTACTGGCGGGATAGCGAGATATCCCAGTACAGAAAGGCCTGAACCCTGCCTAATCGACCCAATCACGGACGGCCTCTGGGAGCTCTGCATACCACTCCCTCGCCACAATGGAGTCGTATCCCTGTGTAACACGGGAGGACACCTGCATTCACAATGAACACATGCCTTCAGTTTCAGAATGAAATGAATAAGCTGTGTGTAAATGAAATGTATGAGCTATGTGCAAATCAAATCAAATACAAAAGTTTGGGCTGCGTGTTCAGAAATTCAAAAGTTTGGGCTGCGTGTTCAACTTTCAACAGATGTGTGCTGCGTGTTCACAAACAAAGTTTGGGCTGCGTGTTCAACTTTCAACAAATTTGGACTGTGTGTTCAGATTTTAGAGATAATGTGTGCTGTTCACCATCAAATGTGTGCTGCGTGTTCAACTTTCAACAAATTTGGGCTGTGTGTTCAGATTTTAGAGATAATGTGTGCTGCGTGTTCACCATCAAATGTGTGTTGCGTGTTCACAAACAAAGTTTGGGCTGCGTGTTCAACTTTCAACAAATTTGGGCTGTGTGTTCAGATTTCAGAAATAGTGTGTGCTGCGTGTTCACCATCAAATATGAGCTGCATGTTCAGAAATTTGAAGTTTGGGCTGCGTGTTCAACTTTCAACAAATGTGTGCTACGTGTTCACAAACAAAGTTTGGGCTGCGTGTTCAACTTTTAACAAATTTGGGTTGTGTGTACAGATTTCAGAAATAGTGTGTTCTACGTGTTCACCATCAAATATGGGCTGCGTGTTTAACTTTCAACAAATTTGGGCTGTGTGTTCAGATTTCAGAAATAGTGTGTGCTGCATGTTGACCATCAAATATGAGTTGCATGTTCAGAAATTCAAAGTTTGGGCTGTGTGTTCGACTTTCAATAATGTGTGTTGCGTGTTCACAAACAAAGTTTGGGCTGCGTGTTCAACTTTCAACAAATATGAGCTGTATGTTCAGATTTCAGAGATAGTGTGTGCTGCGTGTTCACCATCAAATATGAGCTGTGTGTTTAGAAATTCAAGTGATTGAGCTGTGTGTTCAAGATGCAAATAGAGTACTGTGTTATAGACTAAGCATTCAGAACAAGCTATGTACTAGAATGAGCAGAAGTATGGCATGCGAATGTGTTCAGAGCGAGCAAATAAGCATACGTAGCATAAAATGCACGGAAAATGTAGAATTAAGGCAGGAAATGTAAAAAAGTTGAAGTACATACCTCTTGTGCCTGATAGGAGAGAATGGGACTCCGGCTCCCGCAATAGCAAATCCACGGGGGCTCGACCGTTGAAGTCCGTAAAATGATAGAAAATTGCCCGTGGGAGGATGTGTGTCGAGGGGTCGTACCTCTCGGGAATAAAGGGGCGAATCCTCGGCGGCAGAGACATGATATCTGGATCGCCTCCAGCACCTGGAGAACTTCCGTCATGGGGAAAATGACCCGCCATCTCAAAAAATTTGCAAAAAGGAGCAAAAATGAGCAAAATGAGCCAAAATTGGAAAAAGTCAACAAAAGTCAACTCTTGGGAAATGAAAAAGTCAACTCCCATGAAAATCTTCCAAATGTTGAGACAAACTTACCTCAAGTGGTGAAAATGAGAAAAGAAGCTCCGAAATCAAAATTTAATCGGTTCAAAGTGAAGAGAGCTAAATGTTTTCGCGAAACAACTTTGGGTGAGGCGTTGGAAAACGCGTATAGAGTGCAGATCTGAGAGGGAAAATGCTCTAGGAAGGAGGAGAAGGTGATTTCAGATCTGAGGTTGTGAGGAATCAAGCTTTAGCCAAGTGTATTTAAAGAAATGAGGGTGAAAGTACCAAATTGCCCCGGATTTGGGCTAGGTGGTCGACCGGCCACCTTTTCTGGTAGGCCGACCACCCCCTACACTCAAACCTGGTCGGTGGCCTCCAGTGAACCCCAAACCTGGTCGGTGGTGTTCCCAAGATGGTCTCCAAGGTATCTGCAAATTTTGGTAGTGATCGGAGTCCTCAGCACCCGAGAAAGTACAAGAAAAGTGTACTTTTTGTCGCGAAATCCCTCCGCGAGAACTTCAACTCCAACTTTCAATGCGTGTTTCATCGTTACTCGTCAAGAGCAAAATGTATCCTCTTTGAGCACATTGTGACCCTTCCGGGAGGTAAACCGGAGATTGCGATTAAGTCGCACTCGTCAAAGCTTGCATTTCTTTGCTTGTTGTTTCGTGTCAAACATGCATTCGAGTTTGCACTTATCCTGCATTGTTATGCACGTCACTTGCATTCTCATGCATACCACTCGCATTGTTGTGCATGTTTCATGGGTATTGTCATACCCTCACGCTTAGCTTGCGTTGACACACGCGCGTCTCTCGCATTGCGATGCACTTTCCCATCGGCACCCTGTTTGTCTACGTTCGATACAGCGTTGAACATGTGTTGCTAACTATGTTGTGCTTGTTACGTTTCTCTCTTTTGTAGGCACGATATTGTATGTACGGTTCATTTGAAGCTGGTGCAACCAGACGAATCGCGCAGGTATTGTATATTCTCCGTGTGAGACGTGGCGAGAGTTGAATAATTCTCCGCATTCTTAAAACTGTTGCGTGCGCGCTTCATTACAGCTTGCTGCTTTGCATGATCATGAGTTACGTCCGGCTTCGTGCATATCATTTTGCATCTTGCCCCCTGCCTGCAGGCACATCCTTGTTACCTTGCCTGTTTGTCTAAATCTTTGGCCTTGTCAAAAATGGGTCGTCTCTGGGCTTTGACATTCACTCCCGTCAATTAAGACTTTTGAGTTCTGTGAAAGAGGGGCAACTGCAGACACCCCATTTTTGACCGACCTTAAGACTCAGACGTCACCAATTGAGCTCTCAGTGATGTTGCATATTGTGCTCGTTCTAAGGTTGCGGAGTCTCGGCTGCGAGCCTTGCCTCCGGACTTCGGGGCTCTTTTGTGCATTGCCTCGGTTTACGAACCAGGTCTTATTTTCTCTATTTTCTCTTCTCGAAGGACAGGAGAGGTCTCATAGACCATTTCTTAGTGGCCGTAGGCTACGTTTCGTGGTCGCAGGCCATTTTTCCAGTTTGGAGCCCAGTTTTCGGTTTTCGGAGTCGTCGGCCGTGTGCCTCGGTTCGGGACCGCTTAACTACCTCCGTTTGCTCCAATTTTTGGCACACAGCTTATATCCTCCCTTTAGAGGGACACTGTGGCCCAGGAGACCACCTTCATGGTCATACGCCACTTCCGGTGCCTAATAGCCTGTTTTCGGGGCCCCAGACTGCGCATTTTGGCCCCCGAACCTTTGTTTTGCATCCGTTTTGGTCCATTTTTGGTAGGGACCCTATTTTCATTGCTAGGGAGGTGGTAGGACGGTGGGAGGCCACCTTTTCCCCTGAAAAACCAGTTTTCTCTTTTTCTCTCTCCTAAAGCCGATTTTTCTGACAGAAAGCTGGTTTTTTTCACTTTTGAGCCACAATTTCTGGCTTTTCATACCACCATTGTGTTGTACTCATCTGGGAGGCCACCAATATGGGTAGGCCGACCAGTAATTCTTCTTGACCCTTTTGAACCTTGCTAAAAAGTTGGTTTTTCTCTCTCTTAGGTCACATTTTCTGGTTTGCCACCATGCAGCTGTGTTGCACTCACCTGGGAGGCCACCATTCTGGGGTGGCCGGCCAGTATTTCTCATTGACCCTTTTGACCCCTGGTCGACCGACCAGGGGGAGTGCCCGGCGGGCCACCTTAGCTGGCCGGCCAGCTTTCTACTTTTTGCTTTCTCTGAATGCATCACAACTGTGCCAGCTGGGAGGCATTTGGACCATCCTCCATACACGTGTATGGAGGATATTTGAAGCTTCCAAGAGAAGCTTTGGCCTCTCTTCTCTATAAGAGAGGCCCTTCTCTTCCTTTTGAAGGGTTGAACAACTTTGAAGGCTTACAACTCTCTCTCTCTCTATATCTCTACACTTGAGCCTCCAAACCCTAGTTTTCTTGGACCATTTGCACTACAACCCTTAGCACCACACCTCCTCCATCTATTCTAGCACTTTGGGACTGATTTTCAAGGGTTGAAGGTTCACTAACTTGGTCCAGAAGCTCCAGCTTTGCTGCTCTTCAAGGGTAAGCACCTATTTCCCTTAAACTTGCATTTTTTTTCTCTATTGATTAGCCTTACTTGCAAGTATTTATGGACTTTGTCATAAACTAAAAAGTGTCATATTTTGAGCTCCTCTTGAATATTGATTAAGGACACTTTTCTGTTTGAGGTCTCCTACATCCTCGTATGCTTTATCCCTCTTTGTAGGTCTATTTTGCATCATATCTTAGTCCTACTTGTGAGAATTTTTGAGATTTTTCATAACCTATAAAAAGTTTCCTTTTGAGCTTATAAACATGTTTACTTAAGGTCACTTCTCTGTCTGGGGTCATCTCCCCCCCTTTCCTACTTTATTTCTTCATGTTTTGAGCTATGCATTTGAGTGTTTGCATTGGCCTTGGTTTGGCCTCTTAGAAACTAAAATCCAGTGGATTTTCAGTGCCTTGGATGTGCTTTTGAGAGCTAAAATCAGAGGGGGGTGGCCCCCTCTCTCCTTGTTTTGTTTGTTGGCCCTTTTGGCCTTCCAAAGGGCCCCTCACTTGCATGTTGTGAAGTCACTTTTTGGGCCCAATTCGGTGAGTTTCAAGGTCTGCCCTAGCTCTGTCCGGGGCCTCTTGGACCATATTTTGTGTCCATAATGCATGTGTAGAACAATTCCATTCAAGGCCTTTTGAAGGGGCCTTTCATTGTATGCTTCATTGACCCATTTCAGGGCCAATTTGGTGAGTTTTAGGCTTGTCATAATTGATTTCCAGAGTTGGTTTTTCCATGTTGAGTGTCCTTGTTGTATGTGTTGAGTAATCCCTTGCATGACCCTTCAAAGGAGCTCATCATTTTTGCATGCGTTGGATGCATTTCAGTGGTTATTTACGGCTTATTTGACATGTCATGTTCCTATTTTTGGTTGGTTCGAGGACCTCTCTTATGCTCATGTACATGCCATGTAAACCATGCTTACTAGCCTAGGTTGCGTGTTGTTTTGGCCCTTCATGTTGGCACATTTTGGCCATGCCTTAAACTGATAATGTGCTTATTTTGG